GCAGCCCCATCCCATCCATCTGGCCAAGAGTGCCCTGCCCACGTGAGTTCTGGGACAGCCTCCATGGTGATACCGGGATTGCCGGATGGTGACAATGTAGGGGAGAACTCCAGGGCAGAGCCACTTAGAATCATTGAACATGAGGGTTGGAAGGGACCTCAAGAGGTCATCTAATCCAACCTCCAGCTCAAAGCAGGACCATCCCCAAGTAGATCATCCCAGCTAGGGCTTTGTCTAGATGGGTCTTAAAAACCACAACTTCTCTAGGTAACTTTTTCCAGTATTTTACTACCCTCCTAGTGAGAAAATTCTTCTTAATATCTAACCTAAATTTCCCTTGCTGTAACTTGAGACCGTTGCTCCTTGTTCTGTCATCTGCCACCACTGAGAAGAGTCTAGTTCCATCCTCTTTCGAACCCCCCTACAGGTAGTTGAAGGCTGCTATTGAATCCCCTCTCAGTCTTCTCTTCCCTAGACTAAATAAGAACAGTCCCCTCAGTCTTTCCTCATAAGTCATGTCCCACAGCCCCCTCACCATTTTTATTGCCCTCTGCTGGGCTCTCTCCAATTTGTCCACATCCTTTCTGTAGTGGGGGGCCCAAAACTGGACACAGTACTCCAGATGTGGCCTCACCAGTGCTGAATAGAAGGGGATAATCACTTCCCTTGACCTAATCACCATACTCCTACCAGCATAGCCCAGGATGCTGTTAGCCTTCTTGGTAACAAGGGGAACACTTAAAGAGTGTTGGTAAGCTGCTGTGGCCTGGGGGAGGGTGTGTACTGACCCAGCCTACAACGAGTCACCAAAACTCCCTAAGTAGTCCCCTGGCTCAAACAATTTCCCACCCCTGTGCTAGATGGACTCTTTATAAATCTCAGGCTGTCTGCATTGTCGAAATCTCATTCACCCTTTAAAATCACAACCTTTCTTTACCTTTCTTGTACTCCAAGTCCATCCACATACCTTTCCTGTTTGATTCCATTGGTGAGCAATGGGTCAGCGCTTTAGGGTGAAGCAAGGAAAGACATTGAAGGCTGTAACATCTTTAACTGGGTGTATAACCATGATGCACTACTATATGCCCATGAAGAATTATTAAAAAATTAGTTGTAAAAGCATGGGGGGTCCAATATTGGGGTGGGAGGGGTGTATCCATAAGCAGTTTGGGCGTGCAAGACATGAACTGAGAAAAAGAGCTCCTTGTGCATGTGCTACACAGGTGAATGGGGTATGGCTGCATCCCTCATCACAATCCTGGATGCCAGTGAGCTCTCTGAGCATGCACCATGAGCTCTGAAGTCACCAGCTGGTAAGCGCAGGGTCTGGCTAGAGTTCTGGCTTTCACATGGCTTAGTATCCCAGGGGGTGAGCATGGTTGCTGTACACCCTTACCCCTCTACTTTCCCCTTCCCACTCCCCTGACTGAATTCAGCATCAGGGGAAAAAAAGGAGCTGAGAAGTAGTGGCATTCAGCCCCTGTTTTTACACAATTTCAGTGCCCCAAGGGCTGAGCGCTGCCTCGCTGCTCACCCCCTTTTCCCTTAATGCTGAATTAAGTGCGGGGAGAAGGGGTAGGAAAGGGCACTCAAACCCCTGGGCTCCAGAATGTTGTGAATGAATGTGAGGTCTCTGGCCAGATCCTATGCTGACCAGTTGGTGAGCTCACAGCTCCAGGATCATGCAGAGCTCCTGGCAGGAAGTAAACTTACATGCTGGTGAGCTCAGAGAACTCACTTCATATGCGGCACATAGCCCAAGGGGGTACAATCATGCCAGAGCACCCCCCACCCTAGTTCTGCCTTGGCCTGGAAGAGACCTTAGGAGGGCATCTAGTCCAACTCTCTGCTCAGGGCAAGATCATCCCTATCTAAACTATCCTAGATAAACAATTGCCTAAGCTATTCTTAAAAGCTTCCAAGGATGGAGATTCCAGAACCTCAAAGCATCAAAGTTATTGCAAGATAGAGGACAGGAGCTGATTGGAGAAGAATGGAATTTGATGCTACCTCAAGAAGCTAGAAGGGCTCTTTGCAGAACCATAGCAGGGTCTTGAAGTCTTTAGAGTGTAATTTATTTATAAAAACTAAGGCACTCTCTTGTGCACATGCAGACACGTATGTGCGCACACACACATGCATCCTTCTCTTGCTCTGTTCAGGTGCTATTCTTCATATGGAATTGATGCCGTCATCCTTCAGAATCCCATATCAATCTCTGCTGTGCTTCTCCTGGGGGCCTGTCTCCTCCCCATAGACTACAGCATGAGAGATATGGGTTAACAGGTTAAGAAGTCTGATTATTTTGAAAGCACTACATAAAAATGAAAACAAATGAGCTTTTACTTCTTTTTAAGCAATATATACCTGATTTTTGCAGCCTCCATTCTCCCAAACTAAGTGAATTCTTTCTGATTTGACCCAAAGGATTCACAAGAGCCATACCACCTGGATTTAATGAAGGATAAAACAGGCATGACTCTTGATCTGGAGTAAGACTATTGGAACAGGAGGCAATAAGATGTATCCAAAATCAATATTCTTCTATATTACCAATAAAAATAAATAAATTAAACTTTAACAACAATTCCCTGTACTTGACAATATCTTTCTTCAATATTAACCTTTGAAGCTAATACACTCCCTCCTTATAGGATTCCTTTATTATAAAATGAATTCATTCCATCTTTGTTATATTGTCTGTAGTATCTGAACTGCTCTGGCACATGCTCCATTGTATTTCAAGAGAGATGGGAATCAATCGTAGAGGGGGTTATTATTATTTGCAATAACACCACATCTAGTAGTAGTATCAGCAAACTCTTGAATACTCCAACGAAGCTGCAGTTGGAAGTAAAAACACAAACTGCTATACACAGAGCTTCTCCACTTTTGTTATTTTGCCCATGTAAAACCAGCATAACCACAGTGAAATGCTTCATTTATTTTGCAGGTACCTTGCCTCAAATCAGTCTCTGGAAAGGCTGAGCTTTTCCTCACCCATCCACATCTCCTGCCACAAACCAGCAACAGAAAGTATTAAGCTCTTGTTCCTCTGCCATGTGCATCACTCTTCCACCCTCTATGACTGCCTCCTCGAAACAGTGGCTTGAAGAGGCAAACTCATCTTTGTGTGTCCCCATGAGTGCCTCTTGGAACTACCAATTTCTGAGAGGAGAAATTTGCCAGACCATCCTCAAAGAGTTACTGGATGCCACTAGGTCAAACAAACTGTCACCAGAAAAACTAAGCATACCGTATAGTAAACATACAGGATCCCTAACACAGGGTGTTAGGGTTTTTCTTTTTTTAGAAGTCCCCCAATGCCACTTGACCTAATGACAAAAGTCATAAGTTTGCAACACTGATTTTGCAAATCCCTCTTTGGTTTCTTGTCTGAAACTACTGGCTGAAAGCACAGCTGGCTTCCAAATCCATCTGCGCTGCTTCTTACCCCAATCCAAACAGTAGCAGTGTGATATTCTTCTTCATCCACCTGCCAGGTCTTCCAGCTGCTGACCACACACTTATACCAAGTTCCCATCCTGCAGTCCTGAATGGAAGTGATGTTTAATCATAATGAGCATCAGGGTCCTCTTCCTACCTTTCACCTCCACCCCCTTCCTCAGTGCAGGTTTCAGAGCCAAAGCCATCTGCCCAGTATGGCCCCCCAGGGCAAGAGGGTGTGAGGAAAGGCTGCAGCAAGAGATGCCTTGAGC